CATTGGGTACTTGGCAGGTAACTTCTGTACCATTTACTTCGCTTATTGCTGTTATGATGAGTGATGCCATTCCAGTAGAAGATAATTCTGAACCATCAACTGATGGATAAGTCACGAAAGCGGGAAAATATTGAGTCACATTAATAGCACATTTAAATGTCACAGTATCATCGACATATACATATTGTGTCACTGGTACAACAGTGAAGGAGATACTGCCTACAGCTGAAACTATAAGCAGTGTAAATGATATAATTGCACCTAAATTAATTCCAAATTTTTAATATCAAAATTATAACTTACCAGAAAAGCAAATTTGGCAGAGAATCATTACAGAAGCAACAAAGGCCATCATGTTCAGTGAACCAACCATGCAATTTGACATTAATGTTGTAAAGGTGTGGCTTTACATCCTTCATACGGCATTAGTACTAATGCAAGAATTAATATCAATAAGTACCTCATTTTGACTTCCCCTTATATTACTATTCTATGTGGAAACTAACCATATATAGTAATGTTTACAATGGTATTATATAAATATTTTTAAAATAAAATTTTTGAATTGTTAAAATTTACCAAATCCAGTCCAGTACTCACACTAACTCTAAAGTCTATTACCCTCTACTACACCATAAGCAGCACACTCTTCCATTGATAGTTCCTACTGAGGAACTGTTAATGTTACAGTCTCATACTGTGGGAATCCAGCACTCTCTACTACACCATAAGCAGCACATTCTTTTACTGGTACTTCATAGTCTCCCTCTGACTGTGGAGCTGGTAGATCTACAGTCTCATACTGTGGGAATCTAGTACCTTCCACTACACCATATAAGCAGCACATTCTTCCATTGATAGTTCTGATTGTGAAACTGGTAAATGTACATTCTCATACTGTGGATTAACTAATGATAGTTCTTGCTCTTGTGAACCTGTAATACAATGAAACTTGTTTATAAATAAATAAATTGCAGCACTTTGATTATTATTTTCATTCCTCTTCAGTAATGTAACGTCATTAATCACTTCCATTCTTCCTCTTCTCTTTTTAAATTGAACTGTTGCTGCTACCACTACAATTACTATAACAACTACAATGTACATATTAATGACAACATTTGATTATAATGTACATACCAATTATTATAATTAGTAGTGCTATTGATATCCCAGAAACCAATTGAATAATTGATGACGAAGAAGATATGGATAAAGTTGGAAATATGGTAGATGAAGAAGCTATGAATGAAGGTAGAATTATAGTTGAAGAAGAAGATATGGATGAAGGAGGTGCCAATGAAAGAGTTGGGGCTGAAGAAGTTATGAATGAAGAAGCTTGTGAAGTCATGGATGAAGAAGGTAGTGATGAAAATGGAGAAGTTGAGGATAAGGAAGATAGGGGTGAAAGAGTAATGGATGAAGAAGTTAGGGAAGAAGTTACTAGAATTAATGGGGATGATGCAGTTGAAGTACCTATGTATACAATAAAGTACATTATAACTACACAAATGAACATACACTGTACCTGTCACTAATGTACTAGTTGGTCTAGTGGTACGAATAGAAGTAGAACTACTGATAGTAGGAGTATCTGTAGTACTGCTTATGATGGTACTGATAGCAAGTTGTATAGTTGAAATAATTGATACTGATAAAATAGTTGGTAGTGAAGTAGATGATGAAGTAGCTAGAACTGTTGAATTATTTGCAACTGTTACTGTTGCAGGACTTGTTGAAGTAGAAGGATAGTTGATACTGGCAAAGTAGATATTATCAATGGTACAGATGTCATTGATGGAGTAGTCAATACTGTTGATGTGAGTGATACTGATGATGAATAAATTGATGACATTGGAACTGAAGATGTAGGGTCATTAGTAATATTAATACCAGTTATTACAGCAGGACAATTAGGTTTATGGTTCTCGAAAAAGGTTTCGAATTGACATGCATGCAGTGTTAAGTTATTACC